AAATTAGAGCAATTGTTACCATTGCTCTCCATCCCTTGTGGGCAATGCTGGAGATTAGCCTACGCTTGCTGGACAGTGATCCCAACCACTCTTCCCACCAATCTCTTCCTCATGAGACCTAGGACCCTCACCGCATGCCACCATGCCTGGTATTTTCTCACTGAAATCAGGCACTCATGTTTGTACCTCAAGCACCATTAGAGTCTGAGTTAAATCCCCAGGCCCAAAATGGCCTTTCACAGAGCAGGCATTTCCCTGAGCCTGCACAGGTTTTACACTGTTGTCTGAATTGTTATGTGTTCAAATGTGCACCTGCTCTTGGATGTGCACACATCCAAAGATTTCAAGCATCACAGATTGATCTTGAAGGGCTTTGAAAGAAAAATTTGGTCACAAACCAACTCCTCCCAGTTCCTCCACACTTCTCCTCTCACCCAGATCTATTCCATTTGTGCTCTCAATAGGAAAGAAAAGACTCTAAGAGATAATATTAAAATATAATAAATACAATACAAGAAGGTAAAACAAATACTATCCCTTCAAGGAACAGCATCATCAACAGGATTAGGGTGCCTACCAGTGTCACCTAAACAATGGCTCCAGGGATCTCAATGTGTTCAAATGCATGATTTATTTTGAAACAAGAGATTCCAACTATCTGCACAGAAACAAGGTGGATCCATGCCCAAATTCACCCTGTGCTGTCCCAACAAGGCCAGTGGTGGAAGTGTGAGAAGCATGCAGGAGGAAATCTGATGAAGGTATCTGAGATGTCAGCAGGTGGGGGCAAACCGGGATCCACCATCACTGCACCATTCACAGATAATGCCAGCAGCTCTCTACCTTCCCTTCTAGCTCTCACTGATGCCACATCCACTGGATTTTCCTTGTTTGTCTGGTAGACCATCTGTCTCATTGACACACATTAATATGGGTGATTGTGGAATGACTCAGTAGAACTGAAAAGGCTGCATGGCAGGGGGAAGAACCTCAGTTTAGCTCACCCAAAAGCCTAATCTGGGACCACTGAGAAACCAGAGAAATGGCACAGTCAACAGAACATGAGGGAAAAAAGCAAATGAAGGTGCTTAAAGTTAAAATCCAAGGAATGCGCCTGAAGACCATTCCTTCAAGAAGGCTGCCAGCTCTGGGTTCACAATGCTTGTGTGTACATCCCAGCTCTACCATTTGTGAGCTTGTGTCTGTTTATCACTCTGCCATTTTTGAGTTTGTGTCCATGTCACAGCTCCAGAATTTTAAGCTTCTCTCTATATCCTACCTCACCATTTTTAACCTCATGTCTAGGTATCACCCGACAACTTGGATCCTGTGTCTATGTCCCATCCCACCATTTTTAGCTTATTTCTAAGGCCCTGCTGTACCACATGCAAGCTTTTGTCTATATCCCATTCCAGCATTTGTGAACTTGCATCTATGTACTGTGTCAGCATTTGTAAGACACTGTGTTGTTACTTTCAGAACTCTAGTGTCTTCTGTGTATGGGAGGTAACAACTAGTCTCACACAGGCACAGTTTTGGGGATGGATGAATGTGATTTAACAAGAGGCACTTTGAGGAGATCCTGACACACAAAACACAAGAGGTATTCCTCAGCTCCTGGCAACTCATCATGCTTAAAAATGTCTTCTCAGGACACCCACACTGACCTAGTCCTATGTTCAAACTCAGGCCTGTGAATCAGAACAGCTGAGAGACCATCACCCTCTCCATGCTCTGCCACAGTCACTGAGGGGCCTTTAAGAATCATGTGCATTCCCAGATCTGATGAAAGGTGAACCTGCCTCTTCAGTAGTCAGTAGTCCTTCTCAGACTGAAGACTGACAATTTTAACCAATACATGGCTCTGGATGTGTCTAGGACAACAATTTCCTCAGTGCTTCTTGTCTCACTGGGTGAGAGTTGGAATGAACAATGGGCACTTTTCAGAGGGCTTCTGCATGGAAATGACATTTAAATGTTTTCTCTGAATGCTCATTTACATTCTACCTTTCCCTATAAAAAGACTGACTGAGAGTTGTTGCCCTGTAGTCAGCCATAGGCCTGAGATGATAGAAGTTCTCGGGAATGACCATTCTGAGCACTTTGTCACCAAAAGACTCAGGTTCAGAACAGTGGCCATATTACTTCTCCAGGGACTATCCCAGTATGATGGAGATCTTGAAAATATTCATATTTTCTTTCAGCATCTCCAAAGTGCTACTTAATATAGCCCCTGCCCAAGAGACTTAAGTAACTCCCACAAGCAGGCTGGGAGGTGTGTGTAAGTGGTGTTGGGAAGCATTTCAAAACTATGTCTATTGAAATACAAAGACTTTATTTAACATAGAATAATGAAAGCAATCACCCTACTCAGAGCCCTTCTTCTCTTTTCATTCACACTGACAGGTATCCTTCCTTCTGGTCCCACTTTCCTCTTCTACATTCTGCAACACTTCTGGGCATCTCATTAAGGATCCCTCCCACCACAGAAGTGATAGCATGCTTCCTACGTAGCATGGGTAGTTCCTAGTTTCCTTGCCCTACACCTGCTTGGACTGAACCTGGATGCTCTGCTGACTACCAATACAGTTTCCTCAAAAATCCTACCCATCTGCCACCATCAACTGGAAATCCCCAACTCCTGCAAACTTGTACACAGCATCCTACACTAAGATGAGTATTTCATTGCATGCCTGAAGTGACCTTGCACCAGATAGTGATGCAAGGTCCTAGATTTTCCCATTTGTGCATGGCAGGTAATGGACTTTGTTTAAAATACTGCTCGTCTAGATGCAGAAACACAGCCATCCAGCTAGGCATGAGAGAGCCCAAATTGGAGATTTCTATGGGTTCCTCCACTGGGAGCTCTAAGAGCTCTCTAGGAAGAAGGAGAGGAGGAACTTTCAGAGCCAGTGGGTTTAAGGACACCAGGAGAATAGGGCCACAGAATCTACTGATGATGACTCATGGGGTCTAACAGACACGGAAGAAACAATCACAGAGCCTGCATGGTTCTCTACTATGTCCTCTCCATAAATGTCATGGTTGTTAGCTCAATGCTCTTATGGGAGGCCTAAATGAGTAAGTGATTTCGTGTCTGATTCTTTAAGTGCCCTTGGTGCCTTTTCCCCCTTACTGTTTGTCCTTCTCCACCCTGATAAGTGGATTTGTGCCTAGTCTCATTATTGGAATTTGTTAGGTTATGTTCTGTTGGTATCTCCAGGAGCCTTCTCTTTACTGAAGGGAAACAGAGAAATACATCTGGGGATACAAGAGTTGAAAGAGGGAGGAGTGGAGGGAGGACTGAATGTTCTGCTGTGCTGTGGATTTATACTATGAGAGATTAATAATGTAAATAAGGAAAGAAAAAGTAGGGTGTGTGTGTGTGTGTGTGTGTGTGTGTGTGTGTGTGTGTGTGTGTGTGTGTGTGTGTGTGTGTGTGTTGCTTGCCCTCCCTATGTAAGTTACTTATTTTCTTTTAATATGTCTTCATCACAAGTGACTGGAAGATTAAGCCAAAGAAACCTGGGAACACCTGATTTTTTGGACAAGTCATCAGGATTTCTAGTCACGGTGCACTAACAGTGGTACCAAAAATACAAATGCAGGGGTCTGGTTATGCAAGGTGTTGCACTCACTAGATATTCAGGACATTAAACAACAGCCAGTGTAGGAATGCAAACCCTTTCTTTGAAAATCCTCTGCTACCAACTGAAACATTACAGGACATGGCATCTCTGATTGCTTACATCCAGGACAATAGCCCTTTTCCAACCCAGTTGGTTTTCTGTCAATGCTATGTCAATCTGCCACCAAAGATATAGCTACAGGTGACTGAAGTTTATTATGTCACCATCTCCAAGCTTCAGAAGGCCATATGGGGTTGACCCCATGTCCAATCTCACTCTGCTTCCTGTGGGAGTTGAGCTCCTTCTGAACATGTGCAACTGGACCATGTATGCTTGCTGCCCTTTCTTTATTGAGACAGTCTCATGTAACTAAGGATGATCTCAAACTTATTATAAAGCCTAGGCTGGCTTTGAACTCCTTCCTGATCATCTTGTCTCAACCTCCTGAGTGCTGACATTACACATACATACATATATACATACATACATTGTGTGTGTGTGTGTGTGTGTGTGTGTGTGTGTGTGTGTGTGTGCGTGCGCGCACCTAGGTCCTGTCAGCTGTTGCTCCTGAGGTCTAACAAAACCACTAAAGTGGTGTAGGTAGAACTTCCAGGATGGTTTCATAAAGGAATTCCCTTCCTCTATGCACACAAATTCTGGAGTTCTTTGACTTCTACTTAAGTGACCCTTATTCCTATTCAGTTTTCATTTAGTATTATGCCACAGGAGACATTCATATGGGATAGATCACAATTTAATATTCCAATCATCAGACATCTAAGACTTTTCCAATCCTGGCTGTTACACAGTCCACAACACACATCGTTTTACATAAACCTCCCAGTATATCTTAAGTGGTTTCTTTGATATATATCTGTGACAGTCCTCTTCATTTTCAGTGGGCATTTTTCCTTTGTTTACATTTATTTAGTTCTATTGATTGAGAGAGAGTCTCACTGTTTGACCATAGCTGGCATGAAACTCACTTTATAGACTACACCATCCAAGAAATCACACAGCAGTGCCTAATTTTTTATCTTGCTACATGGGATGGGATATCATACCCTGTCAATGATTGAAGAAACTTGAAGTGGGAGAGGGATGTTGTAAGTCAGTAGGCCCAAAGACAGAAGTGGAGTCTGTTCTGGAAGTCATTAAGTCTAATTGCCTCCTGAATGCCAGACAACCTGTCGAGGTCCAGATTCTCCAACAAGAAGAGGACCAAATATTCTTCACAGGGTTTTAAATCATTATGTCATAGCCATGACACTAGGAACCGGATACAACTCCTCACTTGGGAAGCCCAGGTATGCTTGATAGACAAAGATTATATATGAGCTGAGTCTCATGAACCAAAAATTCTCACCTCACCTGATCTTAGGAGTCTGATGACCTTTGGCTGTCTCTGGACACAGTGCACGCTGCCTGGAAAACAGATGTTGTACAGTGGAGAGAAGACTTGAAGGGAGACAGTGAGCAGGACTCCCAGAGCTGAAGGCCTATTGATGGCCCAGAAAAGCAGGGCCCTCTTTGCAGAGCTCTCTTATAAACTGGAGTCTAGATGGCTCCAGAGCCTGTAAGCAGATGGAGGATACTTTCTCAGGAAGATTGGCTCTGTCCCTGCAGAGACAGGGTAAAGTAAGTTAGGGGAAGGAAACAGGATTAGGTCTAACTGTTGGTTAGCTTCTTACCTTGAGGAATCAACTAGATTTCTTTTTCCTTTTCATGTGAAATGAAGTTTCACGGTCTAATTGAGGGCCCTGAGACCATCGGCTCCCCCTCACACACCCATCCCAGTGGACAGTTTGGCAGCACTGAAGAGGACCTGCCAGAGGCTCTGAAGCCTTGCTGGGACTCATTGTGACCAAAAAGCACTTGCAAGACAGAGAGTGAACAAACAGTGGAGGGAGGGAAAACTTGTCCTTAACCCAGTCCTAGGGGTGGTGGTGTAGCAGGGAGGTGTCCATAGTTAGTTACATTGAAAAGGAGTGAGAACCAGTGTGTGACAGACTGGGATTTCCTTACTCTTAGAGTCTATCACAGACCAATAATTTCCATTTCTTAGTCTGTGTCTAAGTGGAACGCACTGAAACTGCCCAGCATGTCTTACATGAAGGATCAAGCAGATTAAGGAGCAACTTGCTGCTCAAGGAACACTGTGTTGTTACTATAAATCTTTCTGCCAAAAGCCGCCTGAGCCCCACTGCCATGTGTGAGCTTTACGACAGCCGCCTGCCCGAGTTAGGCCCAAATGAATACACAGAGAGACTTGTATTAGTTACAATGCTGCTTGGCCAATGACTAGGATTCTCATCTGTTAGCTCAGTCTCAATTATCATACATCTATATATTTTATAAGACTTATCTTATCGGACGCCTTATTGGCGTCCCTCCTAGCTGGTGGATCACATCGTGCCACTGGAGCAGGAGCCGAGGGGAAAAGAGAGGGCCTTTCTTGTTTCTCTTTCGCTTAAATATGAGTCTCCTTGCTATGTCACTTCCTGCCTGGATCAGCACTTCTCTACTACATTTCCCAGAATCCTCTTTGACTCCTAGTTCTGTCTAACTTGCTGTCTCATTGGCCAAACAGTATTTTATTCAATAATCAATAAGATAAACATACACAGTAGTACATTCCCCATCACTGTGTGTCAATGGGAACACCTATGTATTCATTGAAATGTGTTGCATTTTTGTATTTATCAGGGCTTAGGTGTTGGGTCTCATGTAGTTCAGTCTAGCTGCAAATTCCCTTTTTAATCAGGGTGATCTCTAGGTTCTGATCCTTCTTCCTCCACATCCCAAGACCAGCTTTAGAGGCCCATCGCTAATACACCTCTCTTATGTGAGGGTTGGGACCACACCAAAGGCTTCCTGCATCATAGGCATCTCTATCAAATAAAATGCAGTCCCAGTCCTAAAAAGGGACGGGAAGAACACAAATAATGGGTTTCTTCACAGCAGTGCACACATACATACCATTGGAATTACCCTATACTCACCTGCTCCATAGTCCTCACTTGTGCATGCCTTCTGCTTATCCCCTTTCTCCCTGAATTGCCAATCATCAGCTCCAAGAGCAACATTATTGTTCACTAAGTGATGGCAGCAGAACTATGGTGTTCACTCCCCTTCTTGTCCCCATCTCTCTCATTGATATTGTGAAATGGAGAAGACAACTCTTTGTTGACACTAGAGGAAGATCCTATCATGACAAGTATGGTAGTCCTCAATCTGATTACAGAGGAAGGGCAGTTCAAGCACCATTTCCACTGTTATTTAGAGTTTTATGTTTGGTCATCCTTGTTTATTCCTAGGAACTGCCTTAAAACCATTTTTCCCAGTAATCTTGTAACAGCTCCTCTATCAAAGTAATTAATTCCTTGCTTCCCCCTCTGTCCTTCCCCCAATTCAACCATCCTGTTCCTTCCCATTCACCTCCCCGTTGCCCTTTCTTCTTCCCCTCACTCTACCACCTCCCTCCCTCTCATGCTCCTGATTTACTCAGTGAGCTTGTGTATTTCCCATGTCCCCCTTACTAGGCAGATCCTTGTATGTCTCTCTTAGAGTCTTCTTTGTTACCTGGTTCCACAGACAGTGGTATCATCATACCTGCTTATATACATACATACATACATACTTACATACATACATACATACATACATACATACATACATACATACCTATCATGCTCACTTACTTTAGTGCCACATCATTTGAGTTAACATATGGTGTGATAAGTTTCACAATCTCCTTGGTTCTGAGAGACAGAAAGGGAGGGGGAGGGAGAGGGGGAGGGAGAGACAGGGAGAAGGAGGGAGAGACAGGGAGAGGGGGAGGGAGGAGAGATGCTGTCTGGAATCTTGAGAAATCCTTTGTGTGATCATCAGATCATAGAATCTAACCAATGTTCCCTTTCAGCACTTGTGTGACAGCACCCTGCACATGCCCCACACCAGGGCCACCAGCACAGAAAGAGAAGCTTCTGGTGCTCAGGGACCAGGGACTCACAGGTGTTCACAAACCCTTCTAGCACAAGGAGGCAAGAGTCTGTCAATCTGCACATTCAAACTGAAAATCCAATGAATGATGGAATGAGTGTCCAGAGCCTGTCCTTGTCCACTCTGTCTATGTTTGTCACAAACAGGCTCAGAACACCTTCAGGAAAGTCCTAAAGTTGAGAAGGCTCTGATAACAGTGAGCATGTCCCCTGAGCACTCTTGCTTCAGGCCTGGATCCTATAGAATGAGGCTTGTCATGAGGCAGTCTCCATGGGCACCAGCTCTCTCTCCTGGTAAGGTAACCACCAGGATTCCATCCAGTCTGAAAAATCTTTTTCTCCCAGGTCAATGACTTCCTCTGGCACAGTGGTTTCAGGATGAGATTAACAACCTACATTTCTGCCACTGCCTCCTGTCCAGAGTTCTCACAGGGCCTCAAGCTGAGTCATGAAATTTAAGGAATTATCCATAGCATAGGAATGGACTTTGGAAGGCCATTCCACATAGAGGGATACTCTGTCAGCCTATACACACTGGGGAGGGCCTAGGCCCTATCCCAAAGGATATAATAGACTCTGAAGATGCCCCCATGGAAGGGCTTACACTCCCTGGGGAGCAGGAATGGTATGGGATAGGTAGGGTGTTAGTGGGGGCAGGGGAGGAGGGGAAGGAGAGGGGACTCGAATTGACATATAAAACAATGTTGTTTCTAATTTAAATTAAAAAATGGAGAAAGGAAAAAAAGACAAAAAGTTAAAAAGAAAGAAATTTATGTAACACAGATCTGCAACCTCTCATGAGAGAAAATGAGAATGGTGCAGTGGGGGATATCTGTCTCTTTGAAAATGCCTAGGAGAGGTTAGCACAGTGCAATCATACAGGTTAATCATGTGCAGTGATGAAATATGTTGCAATGTCATCACCATGACAACTCCAATCAAGGCACAATTGGAGTCTCTCTTGTACACCCAGCCTTTGAAACACACTTGAGGTTTTGAGAGCAGCAACAACACTCCTAAGACACTGGAAATGGCTAGTGAAGATGCTGCTTGCTTTCTTGTGAGTGTGAGAAACATATCCCGGTCTGCTGCTCCAGCAAACAGTCCACCAAAGAGAGTGAGTCAGGTAGTGGGAACACACTGTGGTTGGGGATTCACTGCTCGGAAAAGGGCTGGTATCATTTGAAGGTAGAATGCAATTAATTAAAAATGTACAGCTCAGGGATGGGTAGCCCAGTGGCTTATAAAGTGTCTGGCTAGTAGGTGTGAGGTCCTGAGGTGGGATCCCCCAGCACAAAATCAAAAGGAGGTCTGGCAGGGCTTGTCCATAAGCCTAACCACAGAAAAGGATCCAGCATTAATGGCATTGCCTTTCTTCTAATGGGACTTCACTTTACTCAACAGAAGCCACACTAATTGCGTTGATAGACTTACCATTTGTAAGGTGTGCCACAGGCTAGGCAGTCTCTGTTTCACTGGCCCACCCCACTCCAAAAAACTGTTTTGTTTTGATGCTGTGAGATGCCCTCTTCCCCCATGAAAGGCTTGTTTTACAAAGAACAGTCATCCCACGCAGCTTTCCCACATCTCACAAGACAGATGTGGTGTCCAGAAGCTTAGACTTTATCAGCATTCGACATAATTAATGGAACTGTAAGGAACAACACATAAGCTGATCACATCTAGACTTTGGACTTAAGCCACAGCATTGTTACGCATTTCACTGACAGAATTAACAGTGCATTCCACAGGACTGAAGGGCACACACAGGGACATTACAGGAAAAATGCTTCTCCCTTGGAAAGCAAACAGTGTAGTTACTAAACACAGGTTCACTTTAACAACTGCACAGGCTCACAATGTCCCCAGTATATGTAGAGGGTGATTTCTGTGCAGCATGTCCCCTGTGAGGAGCAACCATTTCAGAATGAGAACAAGTCACATTCTCCCTCCTCCCAGATGCTCATTACTGGTTTGGTGTTGGCTTGTTTGTTGATGTTGTTTGTTCTTTCAAGTTTTAATGAAAACTACACACTTTTCCTGGCCACTTAGCCTTTCTCAAGAATGAGTCACATTTTAAAGCAACATTTAACATAGAGATCCTAAAAATGTTACTTGACCCCAACCCAAATTGGACATACAAGCCATTCATTATCAGGAGCTATCCCCCTGTTGCTATTTAACATGAATTGGACACCAGACTTGACAGAAAACATATCAAACTGTCATGAAAGACCCTTGGAATTTGAAGCGTTGTAGCAAAACATCAAAGAGTAAAAAATACCAATTGACCTTTTACTGAAAATACAGGCAAATCCAAGATTGCTTTGTGTGAATGTCACTGCATTTTGGGGTTTTTTCCAGACAGTGTTTCTCTGTATTGCTTTGGAGGTTGTCCTGGAACTTGCTCTGTAGACCAGGCTGGCCTCGAACTCACAGAGATCCTCCTGGCTCTGCTTCCCAAGTGTTGGTGTCACTGCATTTTATAAACAAGGTCATCATATCAGATATTGCCCTCCCCGTTATAGCCTATAACAATGAGCCTCATGAAGCCTCTGGTTAATATGGGAGTAAGGACCTTGATTTGGCACACTGGATATTCCTCCTGGGAGAACTCAGGTTGTTAGCTTTACATTCTGGAATGTTCTAGTTTAAGCAGTTCTCTGGCATATGTTCTAGATTGGTGTTGTTGATGCCACTGTTGATATGCCAAAGTGGATGTTGTATATCTCACCAGACACTACACATGCAAAAAAAGAAAACACTCATGCACACACATGCAAACACATGCATGCGTATATACCACAAACAAACTAAATGCAAAAAAATGTATGAGTTATTAATATTTCATTCATGTTAGGATGCTTTTTGTTGTCTGTATTTGTTGAAACTTGATTGCAATGTACACATATGATATAGTGAAAAAGAGTTCTACGTACACAGTGTGCCAGTGTCAGTGTCCTTCTCTTGACATATTACATAGTTGTGCACAGTGTAAGGTAAATTATCATGGGGAAGAATTAGATGAAAGATGCTTTATATGTTCTGTATCTATTGTGGCTTACTGAAGCATAACTACATTGAACCTTACTCAATAAAATACCAGAATTCAAAAACTGGGGTAAGAACATGGAACATCAGAGAACCTGAGAAGCAGGCACCAGTGACTGCTTACCTTTCAGGATCCTCCAACCAAAAGGGCTGTGATCTTATCTTCACCCCACCTTATCACTTCCTTTCTCTCCCTTCTAAGTGCTGGGATTAAAGCCTTGAACTACT